CTTTGAGTTGTTGGCCAAGGTGATTACGTTCATGCTCATAGACGAATCCCATTCCCTGTCTTAATCAGACAAAAGTCTCCTAACAATAAGAGGTGGTGAATGCAGAGATGAATGGCTGCTCAAAATACTGAGAAAAGCACCAGCAAGATGACTGGGCAGGTAAAGGTGCTTGCTTCCAAGTCTAATAACCTGAGTTCAATCCCCAGAACTGGCAAGATATTAGGACAGAACCAAGGCCTGAAAGCTGTCCTCTCTATATGTGCACCATGTGCACGTGTTAGCATGCGCGCACACACAGAGTAAATATACTAAAAAAATACTGAGAATAATTGAGAGCCACGTGCTCAGCCCTGAAGAGGACATTCTCACCACCCCTATGGCTGAAGAAACAGGGAAGACACGGAGGCCATCAGTGGTCAACCTGTTGTGTCTGGCTGTTTTGACCTTCGTCAGAAAAACTTCTGCAGTGGGCAACAGGTGATACAAAGACACATGACTGGCTGAGAACTCTGAGAGCTCAGTCCTAAAGAGGGCACCGTATCACCCCACCCCACCAAGGCTCAGAGAGCGTCTGAGAACAGAGAGGTGAAAGATTGTAAGACACAGAGAACAGGGAAGGCTGTGTGAAATGCTGACACTGAACGTACCATGGTGGTTCCACTCATGAACTCCTAGCAGCTGAGATTATCCCACAGGACCTGCATGAGATCATGCCAATCAAAATCCCAGCAGAAGAGTGTAGTGTACACCACCATCAAAGAAGCTTCTCTTTGAAATGGGGAGAATATTACTGAGTCCCACTATTGCTCACACACAGAGAATATGTGTCTGAGAGGTGCCCTGCCCTAAGGGACACATCTACAGTGGAACCCCTACACCTAATGTACATGGAACATAGTGGAAGAGCGGGTAGAGAGAACACTAATGCTACCCACAACTCTCACCAGCAAAGCTTCCTCAAGCAACAGAGTGTGATGCACACAGAAGGCCTCAACTGGCCACGTTTTAGAGAATAAGAGACTAGAGTGTAGGATGGGACTCCTATATGGAACCTCACCCACCAATGTGATGCACACAACTGGCCAGAGTTTAGAAAATAAGAGATTGCAGAGTGTGTGAGCCTGGGTAGGACTCCTATATAAACCCCCCACCCCACCCCCCAGGGACCAGTGGAAGAGGGGGCAGAAAGATTGTGAGAGCCAGGGTTGGTGCATGAACCTAAGGAAACAGAGCAGAGGCTTTCAGGCCTCTGGGAACTTGCTCATATGAACTTGCAACAATGGTGACAGCATGTACAAGACCCATGCTGGCTCAATTAGACAAAAACCCTACAGAACTGGGCAAATAGGCAACAGGTCCTAACCTCAGAGGAAATATTGGCAACTGATCCCTGCTGGGTGAGAGAGAGTTGGTCTTCTTTAAAGGAGTGACTCTACTTAGGCTGACTAGACTCTAGTGGATGAACTTGCACCAAGGAGCATCTGTATATAAATGTTTGAGAAGGGAGCTGGAGAGGTGGCTCACTGGTTAAGAGCACTGGCTACTCTTCCAGAGGATCCAGATTCTGTTCCTAGCACCTACATGGTTGCTAACAACCTTCCCTAACTCCAGTTCCAGGGAATCCGACACCTTCTTCTGACCTCTGAGGGCATTTAGTGACATGAGTGCACTTACATCCATTCAGGCAATACACGTATACACATAAAATAAAAATAACAAGATATTGTTTAAAAAATGCTTGATTGGATAAGCTTTAACATGTATGACAGAATGTATGAAATCTTGTTGAGGGCTATGGGGGGATACGGATAGGGGAGTGGATCTAAATGTGATTAAAATCTGTTATCTGAAATGTACAAAAACTCAATAAAGCATACATAAAAGTAAAATTTAAAAACATTCCAGGGGTTGGAAAGATGACTCAGAGGTTAAGAACACTGGCTGCTCTTACAGAGGATCCACCCAGAAGATGGCTAACAACCATCCGTAAATCCAATTCCAGGGGATCTGATGCCCTCTTCTAGCCTCCGTTGGAAATGACAAGATGGGTACACTTATATACATGCAGGCAATGCACTCATATACACACAATAAAAATAAAAATTAAAATCCACCATGGTTGGAGGAGGGGCACAGGAGGCCCACATCTAGCAGAGGAGATATTGATAGGTGATAGGAATTGGGGATAGGATGTGATACTGGACTGGGGGGGTATGTTTTAGGTATGGGGGAAGTTGGAGGGTATATGTGGGGGATGATATGATTATAATACATTGTATACACGCATGGAATTTTCAAACAATAAGTTTAAAAATTATTATTATTATTTTTAAATAAAGAGACTAGAGAGATAGCTCAGTGGTTAAGAATACTGGCTATTCTTACAGAGGACCCAGGTTCAGTACCCAGCACCCACATGGCAGCTAACAGCCCTATGTCACTTTAGTTTCAGGGGACCCGACTCCCTCTTCTGGTCTCTACAGGTTTGCATGCATGTAGTGCACTAACATACATTCAAGCAAAACATTAGTACACATAAAAATATAAATAAGTAAAAAATGATAATAAAAATAAAAACACATGAAAAATAAGTTCTCCATGTGAATAGCATCCAGAATTCCCTAGCTCTTTTATAGGTAACTTAATCCATTCAATCCTCTGTTCCCATCTTTTTATAATGTGGGTAGCAATTCTCACATTAAGTAGCATGATCCTGAGAATTAGTGACCATATGAAGATGCTCAAATCTTGTTTATGTTCACAGGAGCACTCCTCTGTGAAGATTTCTGAGCATGAATCTAAACAACTCATTCCAGGACACAGCACATGAACCTACAAACGAAACGGACCATCCAGATGATGATGAAAGTTGCAGTTCACTCCTGGCCCTGCACTTCCTGGCTCTCATCATTGCTCTAATTGGACTGGCAGGAAATGCAGTTGTGCTCTGGCTCCTGGGCTTCCGCATGCACTGGAATCCCATCTCATTCTACATCCTAAACCTGGCTGTGGCAGACTTCCTCTTCCTCTGCTGCCACATTATTCATTCTCTGCTGGAGGTCATCAGCTTCTATGAATTATCCATCGAAAACGCTGACATCTTAAGCAATGGGTCAATACTTCCCTACATTGCAGGTCTCAGCACCCTCAGTGCCATCAGCACGGAGCGCTGCCTAGCCATATTGTGGCCCATCTGGTACCACTGTCACCGCCCAATAAACATGTCGGTTATTGTTTGTGTTCTGATCTGGGCCCTGTCCTTGCTGATGACCATCTTGGATTGGTGCTACTCTGGCTTCCTGAGTCATAAATTTTCTAATTTTAATGCTTGGAAGAAAGCTGATATTGTCATAGTTGCATTTCTGATATTTTTATTTGTGGTTCTCTCTGGGTCCAGCCTGGCCCTACTGGTCAGAATCCTCTGTGGCTCCAGGAAAATTCCCATGACCAGACTATACGTTACCATCTCACTAACGGTGCTGGTCTTTGTTGTCTGTGGCCTGCCTCTTGGCCTTCACTGGTTCCTATTATATTGGTTTGAGGATCATTGGATTATTTCCCTTTGTCATATTGACCAAGTCACCTTTGTCCTGTCCACTGTCAACTGCTGTGCCAACCCTGTCATTTACTTTTTTGTTGGCTCCTTTAGGCAGTGGAAACAGAATCGGAACCTCCAGGTGGTTCTGCAGAGGGCTCTGCAGGATACTCTTGAGGAGGGCGGACATGGAGACAGCCTTCCTTGGGAGACCCTGCCAGTGCCAGAAAGCAGAAAATGATGACGAGTCCCTTCTTTGAATGGCAAGAGGCTGAGAGTGAATGCTACATTGACTTACTCTTGTCTTAGACGCATACCTTGAAAATGCCTCAGTGATTGCTGTGCTAACAAAGATTTCTATAACCTGTTTTAGTAATTCATAAAGTAGTGAGAAATAAGAATTTCTACAACTTTTCTTGACAGTATCTACTAATTTCTCAAGTATCCTCTGAATATTTATTATTGAAGGCTTTTCTTTGCAATTTTCATTAAACTGGAAAGAATTTTATTCAAATCTATAAACTTCAAATTGTGAGCATTTTCTACCTGACAGAATCCGAAATGGGATTTTTTTCTTTTCCTCAGGCTGTTCTTACAAAATCACACTGTGTTCTATAATTCTTGAATTGTTAAGATGGAAATTATGGGCCTGGAAAATAAGTTTTACATTTAAATATCATGAAGTCCTCAGGTTTGAGGACACTAATTCCTTTGGTGACATGCTCTGTCTTTGTAAGAACAATCCAGGAAGCTGGTTTATGAGTATTTTAATGGCATTTTCCATGCTGTGATGACAAGTTAAATCTTATGTTTAGCAACTAAAACTCAAGATCTTTGCCCTTTAGAACTCATACGTGGGTATTTTTTTCTCAGCCACTGCCAGGTCTAGTAAAGGGTCCCATCAGTTAAAATCCTGGAAAGACTAGAAAGATAGAACTTGGGGTTGCTGGATCAGAAGCAGCACAGGGTGTGGGCTGAAAATGATGGGGTCCTTAGCAGACTCTACGACTGAACTCTGTCACATGTTTACCATAAGCAACCCATCCAGGTAGTAAGGTCATGGGATCTCTAAATTTAAATTGTACGCCATTGCTGGTCTGGAGTCTGTTTTAAAATAGGTATCAGGAGCTGATTTTGACATTGACATAAACTGAAGATGTCATGAGTTAAGCAGGTTCATAAGATCATGTCTTCACACTGTGACTATAATCACCTTGAACACATTTTCCTTCCAACTTTGTGGTAGCTGCTGGACTTTGAGGAGGTTGATGTGATGCTCCTTCTGTAAGATACTGTGGTATGTACTGGGCACTGATATTGTCTCTACACAACGCTGACTGTAAAAGTGATGTGATTTGGTTCCTGTTCTCAAGGAATGTGCAGAGTGTTGACGAATACATCACTTAAGATGCACCTATGGAATCTGGCACGATTGTTCTAAATGCAACATACATTAAATACATAATAGGGATTGGAGAAGAAGATCTGTGGGCCTGCAGAGATGGTTCAGTGGTTAAAAGCATTGACTGCTCTTGCAAAAGATCTGGGTTCAGTTCCCAGCACCCACATGGCAGCTAACAACCAACTTTAACTCCAGTTCCAGGGAATCTGATGCCTTCTTTTGGTCTCTATGGCTATTTCATGCATGGGTGCACTTAAATACATGCATGCAAAAAGCTCTCACATATATGAAAATAAAAATAATAAATAAACTATGTGTGTGTGTGTGTGTGTGTGTGTTCTCACTAGTAGACCAGCGAAGACTCACTGAAATATCTGGAATTTGAAATGATGAGTCTACAATTTACCTAGCATGTACCTCTGCATGCATAAACTAGTGATCATGTTAACACCGATTGATTTCTATTTTCTGTGAAAAGAGGTCTGCAGAAGAATTCTTAAATCACAGCTTGACCCACAGGGACCACAGTTTGGGATCCACTAATCAACTCTGCGATGGATGGAGTTTTGAAAGAGGATGTCAGACAATGGAAGAAATATAAGAACAGTAGGCTTAGTGGAAGGCAGAAGGTTAAATGTCAGTGCATCTAGAAATGTAATTCAGCATTGATTTTTGACAGTTAACACTGGTGCACAAAAGGATTCCCATCATACTTAGTTATGTACAACTATGGGACCTGTTCCTACAAACCCAACAATTAAATTTGTATTGTCTTTAATATTTTTTTCTGCTTTCATGACTCATCTATCTGTAATACTGGGTTGTTGTGCCAACAATTACAATTGTCCAATCTGCCCTTTTAAGCCTATTGTTGCTTATTTTAATAAATTGAGTCTTTGTATATAAATGTGTTTTTTAAATTATAATCATTACTGATGTATTGATTCTTTAAACATGTGAGTGATCTTGGTCACTTGATTTCGGTGTGTCTTGTTTTAACTTGAATTCTGCTTTGTTGGATTTGAGGACAGCTACTCCTGAGTGTTTCAAGATTCCATTTGCTTGAAATAACATTTGTTTCTTTTCACTTCCAGTCTATATAATTCTTTGACTGTGAAGTATATTTTTAAGAAAGAAGGAAATACACATAATTGAAGATAACCAAGTAAGGGGAAGGGAGACAAAAAGACATGTATCACATGCAGAACCTAGAAAAAAGTTAAAGTCAGAAAAGTAGAGGGAGATGATTAGAGTGATGGAGGGGATCAGGAAGTTCTGGGAAGACAAGGATGGGTAACGGACAGAATGGTCATGATCAATGAATATTGTATGAAGAAACAAAAATATAATATGTTTATACAACTTTTGAACCAATATTTTGTACAATTCAGATGTACTAATAGGTAATGAAAATAAATCAGAGCCACTCATAATCACGACTGTGTTTATAGATTTGGTGTGTGCTGATTCCTCTGTGCTTCTAGACTTGGCCTCTCAACTTCCACCCCTGGATGCTCTAAGACTGACAGCACAGCAGCTGTGAGTGGAGAATGCTGGCATGCTTCCCAGAACTGCATGAAGACTGAGTCACACCACAGGATGCTGCTTGCTGTCCCTTGAACTCTCTGGGTTCCTCCATGAGCAGAGCACAGAACAGAATCCTGTCCCCAGCACAGTCACTGTACATATATATGATCAAGTTTTCATTTTTAATGTTTTTATTGAGTTTTTGTTAATTTCATCTAATACATCTTAATCAAATTTAGACCCCCCCTTCAATAGCCCCACTACCACCAGATTTCAAGTATTCTGTCATATATTTTAAGTCCTATCTGGTCCAGCATTTGTACCCAGATGTCCCTCTGTGCAAATTCAGCCACTGCAGTCTAGCCAGCCTATCTAGAGTCACTCCCTAAAAGATCTACTCTCCCTCACTCCACAGTAATCATTTGCTGATAGTTCCTTGACTAGGCTTTGGGCCAGCTGCCCATTTCCCTGCTCCATGATCATTTTTGGTCTGACTGAGCCGTATTGGTGTTGCACATGCTGTCAGCATTGCTGCAAGTTCACGTGAACACGTTTCCAGTGGCCCAAAATTCTGTTTCCTTATGTTCATGCACCAACACTGGCTCTTACAATCTCGGCAGAAAGGTTATATGATCATTTCTTTCTCCCCATGCATAAAGACATCCAAGTTTTCCCAAAGTTGCCACCACAACACAATCATCAAACTCATACTGAGTTGAACATTTTCTAAACACTATGCTTTCCCTGCATGTTTCTCAAAAGCACTTTCTCACTTGAGAACCGTATTAGCTATATGACTATTAGGTCAAAAATAAAAGCCTAATCTACAGAGAAAAGGTATTTCCCGAATTAACCAAACTAGTCAGTCATGGAGCATGATCACACTCCCATGTGGACATGAATATGAAATTCAACCATAAACACTATCTACATTATATACCTATTTCTCTGTTTCCAGGGAAATCTGACTTTCTTCTGCTCTCTCTGTAGCCCCCTCTCCAGAATGCCCTCTGGACAACCACAATGGTAACTAAACAATTCAGAAAGTAGGAGATGAAAGGATCAGTGCAGCTAAAATATTAAAATTGGTCAGTGCTGAGTGAGAAAGAGCAAGCCTAACCAGTGCCCTCTAGATATCTGGAGTAGGCGCTAGTGGATGAACTTGCACCAAAGGACATCTGGTATCAATGCTTGACTGGATAGAACTTAGCATGTATACCAGAATACCTGAGGTGTAATGGGGGGTCGTTGTGGGGAAACATGGATGGGGAGGGGATTAATTTGATTCAGAATTGTAAGAAATGTATAAAAGCTCAATAAAAATATTTTTAAAAACTTTAAAAATGATCTGCAGATTCAATACAATACTCATCAATACTCCATTATTCACAAAGTAAATAAAACAGTCATAAAATTCACCACAAATAGCCAAAGCAATCCTAAGCAGAACTAGCAATACTGGAAGTATCCCAGTACATGATCTCAAACCTTACTACAGACGCATAATGCCAAAAACTGTATGTAACTCACACAAAAGCAGACATGTGCATGATGGAACAGAACAGAGCACCCAGGAATAAACCCACATATCACAACTAACTAATTTTAACCTAGGTTCCTAAAAGATATATGGGAGAAAGAGCCTCTTCAAAGAACGATGCAAGGAAAACTGAACATCCATATGTAGCAGGATAAAGCTAGATTCATTTCTCTCACCTTGCAAAATATCAATTCAAAGTGGATGAAAGGCCTTAATATAAGACTTGAGACATTGAAACTGCTTAAGGAAAACTGGGAAAATACTCCAAGATATGGGCACAGTCATCGACTATCTGAAAGGGTTCCATGGATCATAAGTAATAATCTCAAGAAATGACAAATGAGATTGCATGAAATTAAAATACTTCCACACAACAAGGAAGCAGAGTGAAGAGACAGCCTATAAAAAAGGAGAAAATTTTGCAAATTATGCATCAATCAAGAGATTAATATATAAAGTATATAAAGAATGACAAAAATTAAATACAGCTGTTCTGAATTTCATTGGTGTAGGGGCTGAGATTTCAGCAGACGGCTGGAGAGTTCCTGTTCTGTGCTCCCTTTGGAGATGGCCTGCCTGAGAATGCCTAGATCTGGCCTCCATGTGTTGGTGAGCTTCCTCAAATCTCACAGTACCCAACCCCATAACTGGGACTACTACATGGGGCCCCTCCCACCGCCCCAGGGCAGACCTCTGCCCTATGGTAGGGTAAGGCTGAAATTTAGCAAACAGCCTGAGATGGCCTGTTGTGACCTCACTTTGGCATAGGGGC